CTTTCTACAAAGAGTAAAAGAAGGATCGAAGTATTCTTGAGTACCTTCATATTTCGTAATTCGACAACTTCAAGGAACAGATATCGACTGAATTCATTGAGGGGAACAATTTCTGCATTGAGTTGCCTGAAAACAAGTCATAAACATGTTTAACTTATTAAAAACATTACCAGTAATACTTCTTAATATTCGTTCTTTTTATGGGCGGAAGTGGTGTAGTGGCAAGTGGCACGCTTACCACGCGAGCGGTCCGGGGATCAAATCCTGGGTCGTGAGTCGCCCGGGCCAACCAAGCCTTCCATCCCTCCGGGGTCGGTTAATTGGTACCAGACTTGTCTGGGAGGATAAAAAACACTGACTTGTACATCGGCTGGCCCCCGCAAGTCATTGTATAGGCCACATCGCATTCAAACGCCACTACGAATGTACAAATGGAAGTAGAATGCGTGCCGCATCCCAAAAAGGGATTGATCAACGCTTATCCTTCATTATCCTTTATTCGTTCTCTTCGAACTAGTAAGGAAGCGAAACTTCGGAAGAAGGGGAGGTACTACAGAAGGACGGTGGGTCCTAAATGAGCTAGAGAGGCCTTACCGCGAGCGCCACCGCCAAATAGCTAACCAGAACCAGGGTCAACCGTCACGTTCGCACTTCTCCGAAATTTCCGCAACTCTCCCCTTACGAAGGGGGGGGGGGGTTGCAAAAATTTGCTGTATTAGGTATTTTGTATTTTTTCTGTATTTTTTACTGTACTACCTACTTATGTCCTTTTACATATTTCTTTGCCCATCATCGATGTATGAACCTTTATCAACGTGGAAAGAAGTGGTGCAGTGGGAATTCCGCGCGCTTTCTTTCGCTCAGAAGATGGGAATCGAGGCAACATGGAATCATGAAATAGAAATGATTCTGAGTTTTTCCAAGATATTAGGCACAGTCGTGATCATAGAGAATTCTACTTAAAACTACCACATTTTTTTCGAACTTCCAAATCTCCCTTTTAGAAACTCAAAAACTAAACCTTTGCAGCAATTACGTTACGACACAGACCTCTTCATTTGAAAGGTTATATCTTCCTCTCAAAAGCGGTTTCATGAGATGGGGATAGAAAAATTTGAAACTACACAATATTCTCTTCCTAAAAAGTTTTTGAGATCTGCAAAGTTCTTCAAAAAATCGTCCTGTTGTTCCGTTTTTTTTGTACACACGTGATTTTTCGACATTCAAATATTTAAAACTTCCTATAGCATACATCAACTTTTTGCAGATGTGTTCAAGCTAATTAGAAACTAGAAGATTAGCGCTTTCAAACAAGCACCTGAAAATTTTCCAACGATCACTCTCTCAAAAATAGTCCCGTTGTTCCGTTTTTGGGGTTTGTGGTCCGATTTTTGAGAAGGCGCGAGTTTTCGACATTCAAACGTTCATAACTTTCTTCATAATCAACTTTTTGCAGATGTTCAAGCTAATTAGAAACTAGCTAGAACTTTCCAAAGAATCACTCTTTCAAAAAATAGTCCCGTTGTTCCGTTTTTTCCCCTTGATTTTTTCAAGCCATTTTCCTGAAACGCGACTTTGCAATCTTCAAACGTCCATAATTTCCTTCAAAATTCATATAATGAGAAGCGGTAAAAAGTATTGAAGTCTACATGAAGAGTGCTTCAACGTATGCAAAATTTTCCTGAAAAGCTTTCTTCTGCCAGAATTTCTGAGGTGGTCCCTAGAAGTCAATTCAGCTTTAACTTTCTTCCACTTAGATTTGTTCTGAAGCATCAAGATTTTTTTTGAGGAAGTTTGTCTGCGGGCGGGTAAGCGTTTTGAAGTGAAAACTCCTCGGGGTACGCCGTGCACCTGTCTGTGGTTAGCAGTCGCACTAGCATTTGAAAGTCCTCCACTCCCCTGGAGACGGTGATAGTATCGCGATTGTAGTTGCGTTGTACTGCTACATGGAATCCTGTTTTCTCCATGCATTTCACCGCGGGTCCCTGTGTATACGACCCCCTCCCATTTCGTTCAACCGAATACGATCCCCTCGTTGTTCTTTGCGCAGCGAGCGGTTGACCCTGCTTTCAACCTGGGCCTGACGCTGGTACTAGAACCATTTTTGCAATTTTTGCAAGGCATGGTTAACCTCGGCAGGGATCGAACTCGCGGTTTTCAGAGGTGCAGACATGAGTCTAACCTCTTAACCACTCGGCTATCCCTGCCTTGTGCCGGCTCTTGAATCAAATTTTGTGAAAGTATGCTAAAGAGACTACTGGTCCGACTTCGGGTTGCACAAAGATTGGCAAGCCAAAACGTTAGATTTGCACAAAGCGTATTATTTATTGTGGTAGATATCGAAGCTGAAGAAAGGCGCGAAACAGCACAGTCTGATTGGGTCGCTTACAGCTACAGTATAAGATGAAGTTTGAAGGATGTCATGCGCGAGCAAGGGTCCTTTTCTGTAGGATACGTATGCAGAAAATTGCCAAGTTCATAGACAGCCATTTTGAATAAAAAATGTTAGTAATTATTAGAGAGCTCATGGTCATACGCTGCTGCACTTGGCAATGTGGTTCGATCCTTATGGTTCAAACTGAGCCAACCTAATATGAAATGCCTCGTCTGCCTCATTGTCTGTCCCTATATCATGAAATTCAGGATTATTTGAAAAAAAAAACACCAGGTTACAATGGATCAAGTTTGGAACGGGTAAGACATCGGCCGATATGTAATAAACACTCATAAGTTGATGGAGTCCCGCCCTCTGTCATAGCGATGCCGGGGGCAAAAATTTCCGATCCTGTACAGCGTAGCCCATAGACCGGGAAAAAATGCAAATCGCAACGAGGAGGGAGATCTCGGAATTGGCAGCAAAGAAAATTGCAACCTGGTTATAAGAGAAACTGCGACGCAAAAAACAATGTATGAAAAAGCACTACATGAGGTGCATAAAGTACATTGAAGAGACTGGAGGTAGAATAAACCATAGCGTCAGTAATTTTTTGAAAATTTCACGACCCCTCTCTCCTGCTAGCTGGTGGCCCTTAACACCTTGACGAAAGCGCGGCAACTATGCATGCCACACCCATTACATTTATTTTTGCGCACATGCCCGATTTCTTCCCAGTTTTTTGTGTTCATTTTATAGGCCATACATCAACATAACCAAGAACCACGTGGCTTACAGAATGGCCAAGCATTGTTCAGTTTGGCATAGGTTTCGCTAAAGCTTTCAGCCTCGCGGTCATTGCCGATATCGGCTAACCGGCTCAACACGTTATACGTGTGAGTGCTGAAAGCTATGGTACGTATACCATGAAAAGCTGAGTTGGAATGAAATGGTGCCCCGGTAGCGTAACTGGTAGCGCACTTGCCCGGAAAGCGAGAGGTGCGGGTTCTAGTCCCGCCTGGGGCGAAAGTTTTGTTCACAACCCAGCATTCTTGTGAAACATTCCGAACAGTCTTTTCCGGTAATCTCAGACATATTCTCTCTTAATGTCTCTCAAACTCACAACTCCAATACAGAAAACGGGAAGCGAACGATGGCATCGGTCGAGCTCGCTCATGGAACGCCATGCTCTCGACACTCGATGACATACAGCAGGAATCCGTCAACTTCCAAAAAGGGTACCACTGCTGTGATCATTGCTGATCTCGGTACTTACGACTCCCTACCTCTCAATGAACGTAGTAATCCTCCTAGTACAACATGAGCGTCAGGAAATATATAGCAACACCCACAATCACGCTAAATTCGTTGGGTACTCTAGCGTTTCAGGCGATGAATGAAAGTCGGCAATAGAGCAAACTTTAATGGTGCATTTGAGATGAGCTCTGTGGTAGTGTCGTGTGAAAAACTGGAACTCTTATTTTAGTAGGATATGTCGGACCTTCCAGGCCATCCTAATTATCATGCTCGAAAAGGTTCGTTACTGCAACAACAAAAGGCGAAACCTACTATTCTCTTCCCCACATATCGCTCGAATGCAGGTTCGGAGAGAAAATGGGACTTAGTTGGAGTGCGTCGACTGGTTTTAGAATCCAATACTATAGAAGCAGCCACTGTGGTAAGGGCGAAGGGATGGAGACAAATGGAGAACTACTTCAAGGTTATGGGAGGTGATGGTCGTGTTGACATCCTCCTAGAAGGTGAGTAGCGATAGTCGCAAAATTTTCGAGATCGCCCAATTCCCTGGTTGTTCTCGACTTCGGTGGAACCTATCATAACGGAATGCTCTCACGATCAGCCTCCTACTAAAGCATAAGATGAGCAGAGGTTAGCTCCTGAGGAATCTTTCGGATGATTCCCCTGAAATCTAAAATGTCCGAGCATGCGTCATCATCAAACGCTACCTGTCAGCCTTTGGGTGAAGCGTCAAAAGCACGGCAGACACTCATATACTCATAATAAATAAATAAAAATATACTAGTGATGCTGTGAAGTATCGAACTAACCTTATTTGGTCACTCAAGGTACCACCAGACGCTGCACTTGCTACCGTACCCCAAATCCTATGCAGGAGACCAGTATTTTCATCCTTTCCTGCAAGAAGGAACCTTTCTCGATGAACCCGTATAGTTCTGCAGGCGTTTAACAGATCAACAAAAACCTCGCGAGAATGCGCTGAGAGCCAGTTCTCTCTCATACTGTGCCACTTTACGCTTTTTTATGGCGATCATCTCCATGGTTTGCATCAATTTCCTTTCCATTTGAGAAATCGCATGCTGGTCTACCTTGAACACTTATCGAACAGAGAATTCAAAGATCTTGATAGGAGAGTAAACGGCTCACTTTTCTCATAAAAACCGTCATGTAGACGTAAGGTGCATTCACAGCTCCAAAACCGGATAAAACTGCCATCACAGTTACTCCGATGACACCGATTCGAGAAATAGCTTGCTCAATGGTAAAAATTCCTGAAAAGGAGAACAACTCAACAGAAAGACATAGTGAAATCATACTCTCAAGTAAATGAATGGAAACATACCATGTTTTGCACTCAGAATAGGGAAAGGATCTCCTATTTTCCAAAAAAAGTAGATAAAAACAATCCACAGAAAAATCGTCAACGGTGTAAGAAATCGTTGCCTAACTTGAAATCGTAAAAATGTTAACATTTGCACAAGAGACGGGGCAACTTCAAAGGAGTAGCTTAAACTTACTGAAGGAGATACTCTTCAAAAGAGTGTATGCTACGTAAAGGGGAAGCGCCACAATCAAGGTGATCAAAATTGCAGAAAGGCATAACCTCCACGAAGCAAAACGCGACCTGAAACAATATCTTTATTGTACGCAATAACTTATCATCACCTCCGGTCTCCATCGGCCACCGTTTTGTGTCCATCAAGATCCCATCTATGTCTCACCAATGTAAACCGTTACCTCTACCTCTCCCGAGCCGCTCCTTGCACTCCTCTCTGCCGGTGTCTCTTACAGTGGGCTTTCATTGAAGACATTTCTATTCAGAAAATCGTTCCGCAAATTTGGAAGGTGGTCTTGAGATCAGCGTTCGAAAATATATCTGTGCGTATAGGTTTCATTAGTTGGCACATCGACCTAGTATCCCTTCCTTGTAAAACTCCATAGGATTGCAAAGAATTGAGTCAAGGATGTATCTCACACATCCCGAGGCCGAATCAGCTCCAAACACAGTCTGATATCGTCAGTCATGTCCCTGGTTTTCCATAATTCCTTGACCATCCTGAATGTTCGCCAGTAACGTGGACTGGGTACGGTGTTTTAACTAATCAACTAGCGACAATATCCTGGCCTAGACGATTTGGAGATCCGACAGCAAAAGCCCAACCACCTCCAAACTCGATCCTTCTGGAATGTTGGCAGAATACGTGAGGGTCACTGCGTTGGAAACCAACATCCAATAATACTAAGCTATTATAGCTAGCTAGCTGCGAGAAATATGGAGCGAAATTGTTCACTTCTCTTGAATATGTTGGAGAAAATCGTACTTTTGGGAGACGCTGTACCCTCAAATCCTCAAACTTCGGTAAGCGTGACCTGCTTTCAATCCTCCGGAACACTGCGTGGTAGAATGGAGCCATTAGGCAGGTTCAGACTCCACGACAATCGCTAGCGGGTCGCCCTAGCTGGTCCCACCCTAGCTAGTTGCCAAGTCTGAGACCTGCCTCAAGGCCGGAGCATTGTATAACCTGAACGCATTAGTAGCTCGCTAGTGCTCAATTAGTTCTTCCTTTTCTCCATCTGACTCTTATCTGACTCACCACGATTCGAGGGGAGCAACCCAACGTTGTCAAGGGAGGCGTCTGGCACCACCCGAGGATCGTGAGCTCTTCTTGGCCTCCTCTTCTCACTTTCCAAAGGCAAAGCCTCCAACACCAAGAGCACCTTGTGATCCAATTGCTCTCTTTCTTGCCTTGCTTTATCTAGCCCTGCTACTACTATTTGCACCCT